ATGCGATTTAGATATTAGTATATACATATCAATAATACTTATTTGTAAATAGTTTGTTTTAAAATATTTCACCATAATTGCATGTATACTATACCGTACTGTATATGCATAATTATGGTATTTACAGTACTAGGTAAGTTGTGTACCGTATGCTGTACTCAGGGCCAGATTATCGCCTAGGCCCAATAGGCACGGGCCTAGGGCCAATACTTTTAGGGGAGCCTTAAAAAATTAGTAAGAAGTCCACATTATTACATTAAAAAAAAAAATACTGAAAGAAACAGTTTATCTCAAAAAAGGCATTTTTTATTAGAAAGATTCTTTATATTGTGATAAACCAAACTCCTGTAAACATTGCTTAAATCAATTTCGAAAATAGAGCTGAATTTTAATGGGTGCAATTTTTACTCCAACGGTTTAAGCAAATGCAACGAGAATGCATATTCACAAAGTCTCTTATAAATGATTAGTGTCAACAAAAATTAAAAGCTCATTCTTAACAAATATGTAAAGCTGTAGATGGAAGGCTGCAAACTTTAAAATAATTCAGCTAAGCAGTGACTTTTAGCAAAAATCATTGATTTCAATTGTTTGTGGTCACCAAATTATTTTTATTTTCATACAACATTGCTTAGTTGTTTTATATTTTACTTTAATATTTAGATGCGTAAGCTTTATCTTAGAAAAATAATCTTCAATTGTCTACTTTCTCTTGAATCATGCAGATAGATTCTTTTTATAGTTAGGACTACTCTTCAGAAATTTAAATTCAAAATATTTCGCTAGGGGCCCTTAAATTTCGTGGGCCTTGGGCCTGAATTAGTCTTGATCGGTTCCTGGCGGTACTGTAACCTATAGTGACGGGGAAAAGAGCACTGTTGTGGCTTGAACTTATACAGGTCTCTTAAATAACAGTTAATATCTTTTTCTTTTATTTTAATTAATCATTATGTTTCTTATCGCTTACTTTGATTTATATTATTTTGTTATTCGTTGTTATTATGTATGATGGTTATGACAACTTTCGTTGTTATGGGAACGGGGAAAAAATTAGCTTTTTTTAAAAAAAAATTTCACCGTTTTGCTATAAATAATTGAATCTGCTTTTAAAAATGTCCTTAAACTGCAGTTTTCTTTAAATTCAAACAAACGGCAAAAACTAATTATTAAAATTATTATTGTGAAAGCTTACGTCAATAGAAAAAAATTGATATGATACTTTTATCCGGCAGAATCTTAAAATCACAGATATATGATCTTTTCACTGTTGCTTTTAAAACTAATCTTTATCCAACCTTATTTCAAAGTATCAAGTATATGTAAAATTAATTCCAAATATGTTTTATTTAAAATTCCTTTTAAATGAATTTTAAATAGAAGTCATTTGAGAAATATAATTTCGTTTTGAAAACGAATTATATTTTTAAAATGACTTTGAATGTTATTTAATATCATATATTTTATATTCGATTTATTTTATTACGATTATATTTTATATTCGCACTTTTATCAAAATATTCTATCCAAATAAAAATTTATTTTTTTGTTAAAATATTAGTTTTTTTCTTCTTCCAAGAAAATTTTTTTTTGAAAGAAATAAAAATATAGGTATATTTTAAAATTTATAGGTGTGAGTCAGTTTATCAAAAATATAGCCAATTTTAGTGCATATTAGCATGACTTTTAGTTGATAAGGAAAAAAAATTAATAAGCGAAGCTTTGCTTGATACAGCTAAAATGATTTTGAATCTGAGAAAGCAAGATTTGAAGGACATTTCGCTAAGAGTAATATTCGATTCTTCTACCTTTTCTTTTCTTAAATCCTATCAGGGATCCTATCAGCAACTTGCCGTAATTCTCAATGTCAGATACAGGACCTCTATGTGGGGTTAATATGCACAACATGATTTTTATTGTCAGCAATTTACCTTGGTAATACGCGTTAACGTTTTTGGTATCGTCAAAATCAAAAGTTAGTTCATTCTATAAAGTAATTGGTTGATTGCTTGATTTTATTTTTGACTTTTTAGACATAGAAAAATAAGCTAATGACATTATATTAGTTTCCATTACGGCAATGATATTTTAAATAGTTTGATTTTCTTTGCATTATATATTTTTAAAGTGATTGAGAGAACTGATTCGATCAACTAATGTGCCGACTGTTTGATTGCAGTAACTAAATTTTTTGTGGAAGGGAAAAATAAATAAATAACATTATGTTAATTTAACAATATCGAAACTTTGTTGCAGATGATATCAATTATCTGCCTAGTAGGTATTGTGCAAATTGCCTAGGTAGTTTTCTTATTATCTAAAGTATAAAGTGTAAAAAATATTCCCGTAAAAATTACGGTAAAAAGTACGAGTAAAAGTAAAAGTAATTTTATCCAGCAAATATCAAAGATTGATCTGTTGAGCAGGTAATGTGTAAATTATCTAGGTAGTTTGCGCATTATCTACACTGTAAAAAAATTCCTTAAAAATTACAACAAATAGCACCGGCACTCAGGATGCCAATATTTTTTACAGTAAAATTTTTTTATTCAGCAAAGATCAAAGATCAGCCGAGTAGATAATATGCAAATTACCTTGTAGTTTGCAGTTTATCTAAACTTTAAAAAAAAATCCATAAAAATTATTGTAAATAGTAGAGGCCCGCAGGAGGCTAGTACTTTTTACCGTAAATTCCATTTTTTACCGTAAATTTTATGCCGTAATTTTTGCAATAATGCTTACTGAATTCAACGGATCAACCAAGCTAATCTTCATATTATCTATATGATGTGTGGAATTATCTGCAGTGCAAGAAATTCTTGAAAAATTAAAGATTTCTACACTTTAATGTAGATTCTGATTCTTAACTGATTCTTAAACTTTAACGGTAACTTTCACGCCATTTTCTTTTGAGTTCATTACGAAAGCAATAACCTAATAATAGATATTGCATATTTCAAACAAATTCTGGCATCATGACTTTTCAAGTAAGTGGTGGAATTAAAGAGCGTAATTCTATAAGATTGAAAGACAGGGTGGCGCGCGTCGGATCCGTTTCCAGCGTGGCGACCACTTGAAAATAAAATAGCCCCTCCACCCCTCCCAAGCTCGAGCTCATGAAAGGCGCTCTTTCATTCTGTCATTATCACATTATTCTGTTTTTTATTGAAAAATTAATTCTAGATCCTCTTGCGCTGTAGAATTGTCTTATTTGTGTTTTTCACGGAAACTAACAGAACATGAAGGTTTCATAAACAAACTAACATAGTATTTTTTCGTCGAATCAATTTATCCTTCACAATATGATGAATGTATTAGATGAGAACACTTTAAAATGTTCTCAAAGTTTGTAACTATTTATCTTAACGAAAAGAAAACTTTAGATGGAGCTGATATGAAAACTTTTATCAAATTGTTTTGGAACCTTAGAACTCTACAAAATTTTCATGCATATTAAAATATGGTATACAGCAGTGGTTTCAAATTTCTTTCGGCTTATAGAATTCTTAATGGTGTTCCGTGAAAGAGTTAAAAGTGTTCCACGAGAAAGCACTTTTTATAACCAGTGACGAGTTTTGAAACCTCTGATTATATTTAGATCCTACCTATAATTCATAATGTATTTAATCTTACGGTTGCCTTTATGAAATATTTCAAAATTTTGAACTAGACTAAGTTTTGCACAAAGATTGCAAGTTTAACTGTCGGGCATTAANAAGGTCAAGAAAACTGAGATGGGCACAATAGGCCTTGGCCTTCTATTTGCTATCGCGCCGCTGAGTTTAGATTATATTTAGATTCTAAACAACCTATAATTCATAATTTATTTAATCTTACTATTGCCTTTATGAAATATTTCAAAATTTTGAACTAGACTAAGTTTTGCACAAAGATTGCAAGTTTAACTGTCGGGCATTAAACCTGATATAAGACTACTAATGATAAAACGATGAGAAATGTTTATTCCATAAATTAAATATTTTAAGTGTAGTCTTTATAGCTTATAACGTTCGCAATTACCTTAAACTTTATTAATAATGTTGGGGCTCCGCCGAAATTTTTTTAAAATTATTTAGAGTTCCCTAGCCGAAAAAATTGGTAACCGCTGCTCTAACTGATTGATTTTCTTTCAGTGGAACCCCTACTTTTGCAAATAAAGTTTAAAAAGAAAATTGTGGGCGTTATAACCAATAAAAGTCTATTATATTTTGAAAATGTTTTTTTTCTTCTTCTTTTTACCATTATGTTTATGTTATGTATCTTAAATTATGTTTTATGTCTGACCGTTGAATTCGCAGTCCTGAAGATGAATATAGTCAAGTTATAAACTTGTTTTTGATATGTTGTATAGTCGTATCTGAAAATTAATAAAATAAGCAGAAATATGGTTTTCTTTGAAATAAACCATATTTCTTTGAAATAAACCATATTTCTATATAGGAACTGCTGTAAGCGTTGGAAATAGTTATTATGGAAACATGTTTCTTTATTAACAAATTTGAATATTTTTATTTTCATTTGAAAAGCGACATGAGAAATAATAATGAAAGTTTCATAAATGCATAAACCTATCATAATTTGCTCAATATATAGTTCGAAGAAAAATTTTATTTATTAAAAAAATTAGCCATTTATTTTTCAATGACATTTTACTCTAAATCATTTCATAAGGGCAAGCGAAATATGAAATAAATTGTGGATTATTGATAGGATCGAACTATAATTTAAGGTTTCAAAGGCTCGGAATCACATTAACTTTTCCACGGAATCCTAGGGATCCGAGGAATATTATTTGGGAACCGCTGCTCCAGATAACTATGAGTTTCTTAAGAAATTTTTAACAGGATGTCGATGCAACCTGTATAAATAGGGTTTACCACTTGATTACACGATCAATTGTATAAATTACTAAAACTGTATAAGACAATTGGTCTTAAAGCAATTACAAAAGAAATCCATTTTAATTTTTTTTTTATCTTAACGGTTTACATACTTTGTGGAAGACCAAACGATAATAAAAGAGTAAAACTTGATTAAAAAGTACACTAATCTCTAACGCTCAAGAAAATCTTCTTATTGAATTATAAACATGGAAAGGTATACTTTCAAACAAATCAAAAATAGGAGAAACGATCAAAAGAACATTTGTAAAAAAATTATCAAGTAAAACTGCTGAAAATCTTCGGTGCTCATCGCGCATGTTGCCATTTCGTTTATTGTGATGAAATCTGGTACTTTGTTGACGTGCATCCATTTTAATCTTGCCAGCAGCGCAACTGTCGGGAAGTTTATTAATCGCTGTCTGACAGTGCAACATTCTTTCTGGAACTTGCCATTGCTTCAAGTTTTTATAGATTGGAAAACCATTCTTATAGGTCAAATCAGATACTAACTTTTTAGGTTGAGTATCCTCTACTCTTTCCAGAATTTGCCTTTGGTCCACATTTGCGTTGATAGGACAATCATTTTTCGTGATCTGGTTAAGTTGAGCTTCTTCAAAAGGGTACTTTTGTATTAAATGGTTGGATTGAGAGACAAGATTTTCAGGTTCTTCCATCCCTTTACTGGAGTAATCAAGAAAAAAGTCTTTTGCTTGTGTGCCACTGACTTCTTGAAATGAATTTTGTTGAGTTTCCTCTAAGACTCGCCTTTGCTCTACATTTCTATTGAAAGGACAATCATTCTTAATGAGCAGGTTGGGTTGGATTTCTATTTCTTCTGGCGAACATTTCTGGTTTTCTACTGTAACAGGTGGTGAAAAAGTGGATTTCGAGCCATAGTTTTCAATTTCTTCATTTCTTTTATTAGTCAAATCAAGAAAACGGTCTTTTGCTCGTGTTCCATCAATTTCTTGAAAAGAATTTGTTTTATCATCCCAATAAGACAGCGGCAAAGGTGGATTTAAATCGTTGCTCTCGAATTGACTGTTGACTTCAGAAGCTTTTGGTTCTTTAGAATTGTCGGTGTAAAAACTTGATTTCAGTAAACTGTAAGTATTACTAGTAAGAATAGTTGGTTTACCATTTAAGAATATCATTCCTGTGCTAGATTCGTCTAAATTGTTTGGTTTTCCTGTTGTAGCAGCATGCCAAAGCTAAAAAAAAGGAAAAACAAATATTTATTTTAATAAAGTTTTAATAGATGTCTAAGCTGACGTGACTTCATTTCATGCTGGTCAATCATTGCTAGAAGCAACGAGATACATTTATATTGGAATAAGGATAAGAATTGCCCTGGTGTCGACAACTGGTTACCGTTCACAATCACACAGCAATTGATTCAATTATAATAGTCAAGTGATATAGTTCAACCTCTGGTTTGAATATTTCTGTAGTTTACAATTTCTCTTTACAGCATGAAAAAAAATAATGATTTGGAACTGTTTCTAACTGTTGTCGGTGTATTTTATAGACAATCCTTCTCTTACGTGCCTACTGAAATTTCATCAGTGATATCACTTGGTAGTAGCAATCAATTGGAATACGTTCATTTGATTTCAAGTAAAATAGCTCAAGCCACTTGTTTAATTGATTGAATTATAATAGTTAAGTGATATAGTTCAGCCTATGACTTGAACATTTCTATTTAAAGTTAATTTTAATTAGCTCAACTTTGATTATTAATCCAGTAAAATTAGAATTTTTCTTCAGAACAATTAATACCTGAGATTTTTTTTTCGTAGAAAACTTTGTTATGTCCTCATAAAAGATAACTGGAAACTGGATCCTACTCTTCTCTCTATGCTTCCCTATTTTTTGAAGGAAATTGGGTGATTTGAGAAGTAGAATTAAATTTCTTCTGCACATGCAAATGAAGCATTATTTCCGGTGCATTCTTTTACGGTGAACTGAATAAGACCAATTACGAGACGATCGAACCAAAAATTCAGAAAATACGAGGGTAATATAAGCAAACCTGTACAATTTTGTTCTTCTACCAATTTATACATCAGATTTTGCTATCTAACCAAATGAAGCATTTTTACCTTCATATTTTATTACGCTAAATTGAAATGTTCTAACATAAATCAATAGAACTAATAGTTTTTTGGGGTGTCAGGTAAAAACCCTATTTTTACTGTATTTATGAAATAAGACGTTATAAATTAAAGTAAAAAAATTGCATATGAGGAAATGGAGAAAGTAAATGATCACAGCAAAAATATAATGTTAAAATATAGATTAAAGTTTGATCAATTGGTCATATTAAATAATAAATTGCAGTGATAAATTTCTTACATGTTTATTATTAAAATTCTTTACACTTATTAAAATAATTACATGTTTATTATTAAAATACACTTCTTCAACTAGTACATTATCACAACTAGAAATTACATTGCAATTTTTACACACTACTTCTCAATATAATCCCAACTTCTTACATCCATATGCATTTCCACATCTTTTAGTAGAGCATGAGCAGAAAACTATATTTAAAGGGGAAACAGGTGCTGGTGGCTACTTACCTCTTACCAGAACTATTGTTTTTAATGACCCACTTCTCAGGATTCAAATTGTTACCAAGCCAGGATTGCACTTGAAAGTACAATCGAAGGAAATGTTGTTGAGCTGAAGTCGATGTGGAAGGTTGTGAGCTCAAATTAACAGCTTGATTTCTCATAATAAATAATAGTTAGAATAAACATTAAGTACAAATTTAATACAATGAAAAATTTATAACCAATATTTGTACGTGTCAAATTAATGCATGTTTTGACAACCTAATAAATACCATATTTAAAAAAACTATGACTTCTAAACTAAACTTGATCGGTTTCATTCGATTCAGGGGGGGGGGGAATGCATCGGGAGCAAAGCCTTACTTGATTGCACAAAGGATATTCGATTCTCTCCCTCCCCCCAAATCATGCCATTTTCTCTAAAAAAAAAAAAGGGTGAAGTGTAGGAGGAAGAGTAGGGGAGTTTTCAGCAACATAGTTATAGTTTGTCTAAAGTAAGAACTCCCCTAGCCATTCGCTTGGACCCGTGGGGGTGACTATGTTAACGAGGTTTAACTATTTCAAATAGGGGCGTGGAGTCACAGTTTAGGACATGTTTTGGTCGGTGAGAGAAAGGGAATCCTTTTCTTCATTCTGTTGTTTTACCCCTAGAGTGAAAAGAATACCCTCTCTGAAATGCGCTATTCTTGTTTCCATAGCAGCAGGCGGCCTCAAACTTTGTGGCGATTGAAGTTCCTGCAGTACACAAACTATACTACATAATTAATTACAACATAACAAAGCTTTCTAGGAAAACAAAATCTTGGTTATTAATTTTTTCTATGAAAATGTCTAATTTTACTAGACATTTCGACAAAAGTACAAAACAGTACACAGGGAAGCATAAATTATCAGCTCGGAAAAATAGTTACATCTTCAAACTTGTAACAAAATAGGACGTGTCTATTCGCAAAATAACTCAACAACAAGTAGGACGATCTCCCCTATACAACAGTCTGGTGCACTTAGAGATCAAATTCGAATGTTTCTCTTCGAAAATTTAAAAAAAAAGCCGAGACTGTTAAAGCATCATAAAGAAGAGAGATTAAAGTGGAATTGAAATGGAAGTGAAATTGTTGACAAGATATTCATATTTAAATATATCTCTTAAAAACTATATGTATGTATTTTGTTTTTTACTCTTCATTAACTTAATCTAATTTTGGAAAATTTATATTACTTATAATAAAAGTCAACAAAACCACAGTGGTCTTATAATTTTGTTACACACTGTTTAGATTTTGTTACATTTAAACATGCCTTTTAAATATATATTCCATTATTGTACATGGTAGAAGTAGCATAGTAAAAAAAATAAATACCTCATGTTTTCTAAATTGAGTTGCATGGCTTCGTGTGACGGGTCTAGCCCAAGAAGGTATGGGCGCTGATTCGGCTTTCGATCTTTTCTTCTTTGAAAGACCCATGATCTAAAACTATTTTTTAAAATATTGTAATGAAAAAAAAACAAAAAAATATATTATTCCAGATGAGTGAAAAAGCATTGCGGCATCTTTGGTAATAATATTTCGCAAACAACATTCTAAATCACAATTAAATATGCTAAACATACAGTACTGGTTTAATTAATAGCTGTAACGTTACCAGGCCGTGCACAAGCGAGTGATTTCAGTGGTCTTCTTCTTCTACTCGAGTTGCAGGTACCCAAATGAATCATTTTTCTTTTAGATGTAATAATTCGTTTATCGTGAAAAAAAATTATTGCGCTTGAGTAGCGATGAGGTGAGTGAAGTTAACAGGGGGTATAGCTCCCCAGTTCATTTTGAAATTAAAATGTGCTCGATGGATGCGCCAACATTTCCTACCGATTTCAAGTTAGGTGAGTTTTCAGGCCAATATAGTTGTAAGAAAGTCTGCGAGAGTTCTTAAAATCAGTCAGACGAACTCTGCTGTTAACACAATGGCATGTCTACGAGTGACTAATTTTTTATCCAGTGAGCTTATTAAATATATATGACATCACTGCCATAAGATGATTATGTTTAATAAGAGAGTGCAATTAGTTCTTTGTACAATTTCATTTAGATTGTCGAAATAACAACAAAAAATCATCTGTTGTGTATGAAAACATTACACATTATGATTTTATTTGAAAAACATACTGCACATGAATTCCAAACAAATTATATCAGTTACAAATCGTATGTAGGGTATTCTCAGGATGTAGGTAGGATGTAATATAGAACTAACTATAAAGTTTTAAAGATATTTTAAATGTCTTAAGAGTTAAAGGATAATAATAAATCTTGTATTTTTCAACTTTCCCCACATTTTTCACGGTTAATTTTATGAAGTAAAATATTGCTAAAGATTATTTATTTAAAAAATTTCCAGCGCTATAATTGCAGACCATTTGTAGTTTCTATATAAATCTTTTTTAAAAATAATCCTCATAATGATTTCAATAAAAATAGGAATTCTTTGGTCAGGACTTTGATTTTTTAAGATTTTCAAACTTTCCAATTCGTCCGTCATTTTGGTCAATTGACTGCAAAAAAAAAAGCTACCACAGCCAATCCAATTTATTTTACTGGTTCTTTAAACACTTCAAAATAATTGATTTGCAAAATTACTTTTTAATAGTAAAAAGGAATTAGTTAAAATAATTAAAACAATTAATAAGAAGTTACCTTTTATTGAACCGAATTTTGAAGTTTTCGCATAAAGAATTTTATCACATAAAATTTATAATTGTTTTGAAATTTTGAGTTCTTCATAATTTTGAAATGGCTTTGAAATGATATGATTATGAAAGCTTTTGCTTATTGCTAACTCATTAATTTTACAAAGTATAGGAAATGCCAACAGTATCTTATTCTTGTATCAAATGGAAATAACACAGACAATCACTTTAACTTCAATTTTTGTTGATCGTTGCCCTTCCCATTGATTTACCATTACATTTATTAAAACGCGTTTTAGAGAAAACTGTTAACAAAAAACAAGTGATTTCACTCAACTTTTAGAATACTAATTTTAATATTACCTTATTACCATATACGTCACGAAAATTATTCACATTGAATAGGCAAGACGGAACTAGATCAGTAACGTAAGAAGAAACACATGTTTTAAAAACATTTCATTAAAAAAATATGAAGTTTTTAGACGATTATGGTTTTAAGGGGTCACAGTACCCAAAAAATGACAAAAATACCAAAAAATTTTTTATTGCTTATAATAAGACTTCAAAGTATTTCAAATGTACAGAAAAAAAATTCATCTCTCTATCTGCATTTTTAAAAAAGTTATGAATGATTTTAAATTGTTCTAATACAGAAACTTGCTCAGCAGTTTGACTTTAAAGTGCTTTTTCGCATAGATGATTATTTTGTGTCTTAATCTTAGTTAAATCCCTAAGGAATTTTTTCTATTTGAGATAAAGCTTTGAAGTAAACTTTTTTATATTGAGTATAATACACTTATTTAAACTGTGCATGGAATAAGCATTTTATGAGGTATTACAATTTTTACAGCATGTTATATATACCTAACAGGAATTTTTACCCTTTTTTTTCTACTTTTTTACAAAATAATCTATAAAAAATATTCTAATTGATATATCAACAAATGAATGCACAAAATTATTAAGATAAATATTGCAAGCACTATGAAAAAAACTTTTTTTGAAAATATGTTAAAATAAAAAAGCCTTAGGGATTTAAAAATTTAGAATTTTTTCAACTTTTTTTAAAATTTTAAAAAAATTAAACAGTTTAATTACTTTTTGAAGATAAATTATTGATTATAACTTAAATGAGCATGTAAGGCATCCTCAAAATGAATGATTATACCTTTATTTTAAAAAATTGTTGCAAAGGTACTGTGACCCCTTAAAATATCACTCAATTCTTAATAATCAACTTAAGTTTTTTTTTTCTTTTCCTACCTCCCTTCCCCCTTCTTCCTTTATTTTTAATGCAAGTCCTAATACAATTTTAATGCAGTTGGGTACTTGCACTTCAAGAAGAAGACCGCCCATACCCACACATGTGATCTATGAAGTCAGCTCCAGCTAATCTTTAATAGCAAAATGGTGTATTAAAGTTGAGCAGAGTTTCGCTACATAACTAAGAACGTTAATTAACTAAAAGTTAATTAACTAAAAGTTACTTAACTAAAAGTTAATTAATTAAAAGTTAATTAACTAAAAGTTAATTAACTAAAAGTTAATTAACTAAAAGTTAACTAACTGAAAGTTAATTAACTAAAAGTTACTTAACTAAAAGTTAATTAACTAAAAGTTAACTAATTAAAAGTTAACTAACTAAAAGTTAACTAACTAAAAGTTAACTAACTAAAAGTTAATTAACTAAAAGTTAATTAAGTACAGAGTCGTATCGAACATCGAAATTGTTGAAGCATAATTCTTTCTCGTCTATTTCTTTTACTTAACTTAGATTTGTTATTTGTTTATGTATTTTATTGTAAACGTGATATATTTTTGTTTTGTCTACGTGGCAACTTCGATGCCTAATTAGTTTGTTTTTGCTCCACATGGCTTCATGCCTATCTTTGTGTTTAGTCTCTGCGTAAATATATAGAGAAAGAATTTTTGTGAAAGAATTTAGAATGTGTCACTTAAAAGAATTGATTCTTGACAGGCTGGAAATGGAATGGAAAGAACAGTTGCTAACGCAAATGCCACGTTTCATCAACCTATAAGGGTCGAGATACACTACGTCACTTGCAGGCATCCCATTCCGTCACTTTGAGTCTTATCAAAACAATTCCTCATAGTACTTTGATTTTCTTTTTATGTATTTATTGTTTTAAAGAATTTACTTATTCCAGCTTTTTTACATTGTTATTCAAAAGATTATTATTTTTTATGTTATTATTCACTTTTTAGACAGATTAAATATTCGAAACTGAAATTTAAAAATCCTTGTTAAAAAAATTCTCCTATTTATTTATTTATCGAAATTTATAAATCTTTTTCTTTTTTTTCCTTTAGAAAAAGTACTGCTTAACCAAGAGATAATGTAGGGACAAGTGACTACTTTTGTTAAACAAACTATAATTAGGAAATGGAAATCTATCGTATCTGATTCCATTGAAATCATTCATTATTAATTGAAATCACTTATTATTTTAATTTAAAAAATAAACTATTTTTAAAATTAAATTGTTTTGAAGTCATTTTGAATGCAAAATCTTTCTGAAAGTTCTAAAATCAATTTTTGACTCACAAACACTTGAGTGAGAGACATTTTTTGACTCTTGGACAAAAAAGGGGTTCAATTTTTTTAATTACTCGATCACAATTCACTAACATAAGAAAGAAATTTTTTATATTTTCTAAATTTCTGCAAGAAGATTGTTTTTATTTCTAGCTTGGTTTTATCTTCGATGGTTTTAAATCAATAATGGCTTATGAAAATTTTGCTTATTTGTCTGAAACATTGTCGCAGACTAACCCACCGTCACTCCACCCTCTCATCGCCCCCCCCGGCAAAGACGCCCATAACTTTTTGTAATTTTATTTTATAACCGTCGTTGAACAGCCGATCCAATTTTGAGTCAACGGCTACCAATGTTCAACCAAAGATTGTGTTCAACTGCGTAGTCTTGTAATTTTGGCCTAATCCAGACGACAAGGAAATAACTACAAGAGGAGACTTCGGTTACGACCTCTTGGACATGAACCCAGTACGTTACCAACTCGGCTATCCCGGGACTACGGCCGTCAAATGTAATATTTCCTAAAAATAGAGAGGTCAGATTTTTAACAAAATTTTCAGCTAAAATTTTATTTGCCTAAAATACCCAAATAGGTGGCCAAGATCAAAAACATTATTCATTTTTTATTCAAAAAAAATAAAATCTTTAACATTGCTGCTGCACGGATAAACAACACTTCTGGAAATGTACACATGAAATCGAGTTTGTAAACAGTAGAAGGTCCAGAACCTTCCATCTTGATATATTACAATGGGCATTTTATCCATATAAAATGCCTTAGGTCTAATACAATATAAAAAGTTAATAACAGATTTCTTTCCCCTTTCCGTTCCGAACATTCCAACATTTTATATTAAAAATTAAAGAAAATACATGGAGAAAACAGTAGGTTTTTTGAGATAATGGTGCTGCCATCTATTTATGCGTTAGTGTAACTGAAATGAAAGAAATCAAAATAGTGAATGAATAAGTAAAAAAATTAAAAGAAGGGTAAAAGTGTTTGCAGAAAAAAGGAAATTATACTCCAAAATCTTCGATTTTCTAAAAACTATTGAAATAAATTACTCTCGGAAACTGTTTTCGCGCCCTTTGCTTACGCAAAATATTTGCTTTCTCATATACTAGAAAGAAAAAAAATCACTAATCACATTCGAAATGCCATGATTTTTGTTTCATCTGCATGCATTACAACCAAATCAGAAGAAACGATGGAAGTGGTTGTGGCACTCAAATTCATTATATAGAACCAGGATTCTATCTCAGTTGGCAACTGGATCTCATCCTGTTTCAGGCTGATGGGAACCTTGTCTGGGAAGACAAGGCGGCCAGTGCGCGGTCTTGACCACAATTATGCAGTTGGTCTTGAAATTTTGAACCCTCAACCTCCGTGATTCCCTTGGCCAACAACTGCTTGTTGTAGTATACATATACACAAAAGCAGTTGATTCAGAGAAAGTATATTTTTGTATCTGCTTTCATAACTTAGAATATTGCAGCATATTCAAAGTCAATCTCTTGATGGATCCATTAAGAATCTAATACGCGAAAATCTGACCATAGTATCAAAAATTATTAAAGTGTTCTGCTCTTAATTTTGTGTGCTGAATATATACATTTATGTTAGCAGTTATTCCTTTGGCATGTATTTCACTGCAAACAGGGTCTTTCCATATGGATAATAGTTTTTCTTTAATTAATACTCAGGGTGCGTAGCCAAATCTTTGAATCAAAAATAAGCACTTTTTAAAAACTTTTCAAGCACTTTACAAAAATTTTCAAGCACTCAAAAAATTCATATTCAATCAGTGATATCATTGAAAAACAAAAAAAACTTTTTATAAGCAGTTTTAGCGTTAAAAAAAAACCCAAAAAGAAACAGACGTAAATCGAAACAATCAGTACTTTCCCACATCATCGAGTGAATTCAACTTGACCCTGAATTCAGAACAAAAGTACCCGTACCCCCTACGTCAAAAAAGTGTTAGAAGTAAAATAAAATAAACAATGAAATTTAAATAAATTAAAAAGAAAAACATTTCATAAGGATCTGATATTCTCCATCCGAATTGGAGCACTCGGGTTTCGGTTTCAAGTGAGCGTGCATGCGTGGGTACGACATGAAGTCCGCGTGAATGATTACGTAGCAAACACCCCATTTTTCGTGAAATGCATGGGATCCACCAGATATCACTGAAGGGAGAAAAAAAAAATTATTCGGGAAATTAAGCACTTTTTAAAAACGCCAGCTGAAAAATGCACCTTTAAAAGCTTTTAAAAACGAAATCCCCAAAAAAGCACCTTTAAGTACTTTTTACAAACGCTAAGCACCCTGATACTTGTAATAATGCACGCAAAACTATACAACCAACTAGTATTCAGTATCCCAGATCAAAATTAATTCTTTCTGGAAAAACAAATCTTGAATAAGTTCTTAAATCTCAAGAACTATGAAAGTACTCCACAGCAAGGCTTGAAAATAACGCACTACAAGCCTGGAGCCCATAAATATTCCATCGGAAATGTCTTAAATCCGAACGAAGTGCTATCTCAAATTTAAATTACAAACAAAAAAATTTATAAAATAAAGTTAACTAATTTTTTTCTATTTTCCTACTCATTTTTATTTTTATTGAAAAAAAAAACTTACCCCAAAAGCTGTGGGGGGGGGGGATATATATCAAAGATGGAATTTAAATGTTGAAGATGAAGTGGGAGTGATAACATTTTAATAACAATATCTACTTGAAACCTTTAATAAAATTCCAAAATATCAAAGCAGGAGATAGCATGCAATTTTTTTAAATTGTTTTTACTTAATATTTATTCTTCTCTTTTCCGAATTTAGAATATATTAAGAATAATTTAGAATATAGTAAGAATATATTTCTTACCGAAAGTTAAAATTATTAAGTGTTAAAAAAATTTTTTTAATAAATAGTACATCCATTTAGAGACATACATACATTTTCTTAATATACATTTGAAAAAGATGTTTGAGCCGAGAAGAGTTTCACCTGGGCATGTTTTTTATTTACAAGTCTAGGAGGACGTATAAAAAATATGGAAACTTTTTGAGCCCTGCTATGCATTGTTGCAAAAAAAACACTAAAAAGGTCACAATATTGGAATACTCAAAATAAGCTAATTAATACATAAATCAATTAACACAAAATCCTCTGTTTTAAAAACACATTTTTATTTTCCCAACAAATAAGAATCATAACAAACGTAATAAAAAAAATATCACTTTATCAGTGAAGTTTATCAAAAGATGGTCGCTTACTGCACTGTCACATTACTTTCAACATCAAACACATAAACAATTGAAATAAATAACAGAACAATAAAACAAATACAAACATTTTGTATTCATACACAGTATGAATAATGGTTTGCTTCAAAAAGAGGCATTTTTAAAAAATCTCAGCCATTAACAACACAAGTAAAGCCGACCAACCTGTAAAAGGATGCACACCTTTTCCCTCCCCAGTTCTATCATCATATTGTTCCCATATAAAACCTGTTCGTTTATACTCATCTATTATATTTTTCACAACATTGTCTCGCAATTCTGTGTATACACTTCTCGCCTCTTTTTTATATGGTCCATCTACAACACTGTAGTGATGAAAAGCTCGGATAGCAAGAAAATTAATATTGATCCATATAGACCCTCTCCAATAGGGAGGATCATGTTCAGTATTATATTTCAGATAATATGGTGAACTCTTAGAAAGGGACCTCAACCCATAATCTGTCCAGAGTAAGTTAGGATTCTTTATGTCAGCCATTACTTTTATAAGTTTAGGATTATCAGCATCAATGATTTTTAAAAGGAATGGAAAAAGACTAACATAACCAAAATTATTGACAAACCTCAAGGCTGGTTCTTCTTTTACTTCCCTATAAGTAATTGTTTGAGTTTCATGACTTCCCGGTGAAAAAGGAACTTTTTCTTGAACCAATTTAACACTCCTGGAATGAAATCCATAATCACAGTAAGATTCAGTTTTAAGAGACCAATGCAATAAATCCAATAGCTTATTATCCGTCAAAAATTGGTGAGTATTGCGATATTTCTCTACAGGTTCATCAATAAAATCTCCTATATCAGCTAACACACCAGCAGCAAAGGCAATCCAACATCGCAAATCTATATGCCTTTCATCTATAGTCGGGTGAGTAGCACGTGGATAATCATCTAATCCAGAAGTCAAAGTTTTTGGATTCAGCTCTGCATCTGTCTGAGAATCGCGTCCCCGCCAACGGTAAGTACCTGGAATCATTCCAGCTTGAGTTCTATTAAACCAACCAAACCACACTTTAAGACGAGGGAAAGCTCTTTTAAGAAAATCTATATCTTCTGGAATTTCTCCAGTTTTCATCTTATTCAACAATCTCTCAAAAGTCAAAAAGAGAGTTGGTGGGTTTGCATTCGTGTTTTTTTGAATAACAAATTCTGCTGGGACCCTTTCTCTTGCTTCTACACCCAAAATTTGTTCCCTCGGAATCCATCCTTCAGTGTTTATTAAATCAAGCCAGTGACTTAGAATATCTTTAGAGATCTCAGGATTCCATTCAAGGATCAAAAGGTTATGAAACCCTTCATCCCACAGAAAGCCTCGAGGGAAAAATGAACGAGATGGTACAGCCGTGTACAAAGGAGCCTTCCAATAACTTATTGGATCTTTATTATGACTAGATTGGACTAAAGAGGAACCATAAAAATACCCAATACCACCAATCATATTACTTAGAGCTGCCCAAGCAGTTTTAATTTCTTCTGGATTGTATAGTTTATCCAGAAGACGAAATTTATATTCAAATGTTTCTTCAAATCTTTTCATGTGATTATCTAACTCCATATTATACAATGGCCCGATAAATTTTGATGGTCTACTTGTAAAACTACCAGATTCAAAATAAACTTCAAGCTCAAATGGTGGAATGAATGTTACTTGATATACAATAAAATTTGGTGTAAATTTATCACCTTTTTTGTTACGAAATATTGCCTCACCATTCAAACCTAAAATTTGGAGCTGCACACGCTCTTTTGCTTGAAATTGAGCAAGGTGACTAATTACAGATTCTTTTAAATGTGCTATAGATGGTGCGTAGGTTGAAAGATAGTTATACTTTAAAATAGTTTTGCTAGTTTCAATTTCTCTAAACTGAATAGTAAAATTTCCAAGCTCATTCATATGCCCCCGAATACCACGTAAATGGCCTTCATTAACGACAAAAGGTGTCAATCTAGCATCAGCAGTAGCATAGGCATAAAACATTAGAGAAACTGGAACAGGTGATGGATTGAATTCCTAAAAGAAAAAAATAGCATTCAATATCAACAGTTTGTTACGAAAAAAGAGATTATTAAAAATTTAAAGGGAGAGAAAGTGGCTTGTGTGAACATGAGAATAATGTGGAGAGCTGAAATATTTTAGCTATCTATTACTCAAAATTTCTCTGAAAACTAGGGTTCGCCAAGTGGGCCTACTTTGAAAAAACCTGCCCGGGTTTTATTGGGTGTGCCCACCTTGAAAAAAGCCACTTGAAACGATAAGTGGGTTTTTTTAAAAAAAACTTTTTATTAAAACTTATTGTTGCACATTTAATTTTATATCATTTATTGTACAGCATGAGTTTGTCAAATAGAGTTGCAGGATTTATATAATTAAGTTTCTAATATTTGTAAAGTAAAAGGAATTCGAATCTAATTTTATAGTAGGTACTATTGAAAACTTTAAGTGGGTTTTTTCAAAAAGTAATATTTTAATGAAATTAAATCAAATAGAAATTTAATAATATAGTCTGAAATATCAATTTTTCAAATATAGTTGCATGCTTTATATATTAATAAACAGGTTATTATTAATTCATATGTTTAAAAAAATTCAAAGGAAACTTTTTTTTACTAAGTGATACATTAACGAATTTAAACAGTTTTATTTTCTGGCTTTAAAAAATAAGCTAAACTTTCTATACAAGAACATTTTAAAATTATTTATCTAAAAATGAAATCATTTTCCTAAGATAAATTATTTGAGAAAAAAAATGGAGTAAGTAACTGATACTCTTTATAATTATACGCAATTTTAATTTCACTTTCTATTAATATTATTATAAAAACATAGAAGACCATTAAATATTTATTTCAGTTTTTTATTAAAGTCAAAAGTCAGATGAAATTTTATTTTTTACTGATTATAATTTTCTATTGGGTTATATATATATACATATATATATATTAATAAATGTTTAATAAATATAGTAAATAAATGCGTGTGAAAACAAAAAGATTAATAAACTTGTTCCTTTTATATTACTGCATTTATATTTTATAATGCTTGGGTTAAAAATTGTGAAACGTTATGTATTTAACAATAAAGAAGATTCAAATATGTATTAGTGATAAAGCGTTATTTAAACTTAATATAAAATATGTATAACAAAATTGAAATAATTTTTTGGACTTATTTCTATTTTTAAGTTTATACAACACTTTTTAATAAAAAAAAATATTTACACAGTAAAACTTAAAGTTTATGAGCACTAAATAAAAAAACCCAATTTTCCCCAGGTTTTTTGAAATAAAACCCAATTTTCCTCGGGTTTTTTTCAATAAAACCCAGGCTGGTTGGGTTTTTTCTAAAATACCCAGGTTTTTTCAAACCCTACTGAAAACTCTGACAGAATGAAACAAACTGCATTAAGCTTTCATAAGCAGTTAAGAAGAGCAAAAATTGAACTTATTTTGGAAACTTTGGAGTTTGTAGTCCACCCCATGGCAGAATCGTGGCGACATTGTCGCAGAACGTTACCAAGTTCCTGCAGAAAGATTTTTCGTTTGGGATGTAAAAACTTTTTTTTTCTTTGTAGAAATTTTCGAAAGATTTTATCTTTTCTTCAGAATTATATTCAAAAGATGCCTTTCTCGCGCATTCGAGTGGAAAAAAATGCTTTTTCTATTCTCATTTGAGAACAATGAAAAATAAAGATTAATGAAGTAAAAAATTTGGTTTCTTCGCGAGCGCTCGCTTTCTAAATTTTTTAATAACTTTATTACTATTTATATCCAGATAGCTTAAAAATCTGATATTTTTATTATATCATTTATTGCAACAATTGAATCTCGAAATGAAAATGCGCATTTAGTTACCCTTTTTTGAAGAGTCCGATGTACTGCTACTGATTTCCCAATTTCTTAATTTTTTTTTAATGAGATGATGATTTACAAAATGCAAAAAAGAAAATAATTAGTTTGTTTTCCCCCTACAAAATGCAAGAATATAGCCCATAATATTAGAATAAAAAAAATATTACTTATTTAATTAAAAAATTATTTTATTTGATCCGAAAAGTTTCTTCTTTTTTTTTTTTTGAAGTTGACGCTTTTGTTACTTAATTTAGTAACACGTATATTTGCTATTTTTAAAAGTATCTTGCAGAAAGATATTAGTAATAGAGAGGTATGTCACAGAAAGCTCAAAAAAATTCTGCCACAGGGGTAGTCCAAGCCTGTACGTGGTAAAGTTATGTTTTCAAATCATTTGGGAAGAAAAATTCGTTTCTCAAAATGCTATCTTATTCTGCCTCAAACTATGGCCTCGTTTTTTTTACAGAATTTGATATTTTAAAATCCTCGTGGCAACAAAAAATATCATTCTAGAAAATTGATTTTTAACAGCAGTTGATTCATTAAAAAAATTAACTTGATTGAAATTAATAAAATATTATCTTGAAATTCGATTAAATGAAATATTTTTTTCACTAAAACTTAAAATTCATCTATAATGTAACTTGACTTTAAAACAGTTTTTTTGCATAGTACTTGTCAGAATATAGATCAATTGTTAATATTATGATTCAAGATAGTATTTTTAAAATAAAATTAGTTTTACTTGCTTTTTTAAGTAAGAATAGATTAAATAATAAGTTTTATGACTAGCTGACACTAGCGTCAAGACATCTGGATAAAGTTAACAAAAAATTTAAAAGATTACATTATTCAAACACAATACATTCAAATGATCTTATACAAAGTAAAAATAATATGCTAGAAATATATTTTGTTGAAATACATATTTTAAAATTTTAAGAAAACGAAAATTTATTATTTTAAAGTGGTATCTTAGAATTTGTCGATTTTACAACATACTTTAGGTTTATCCAATTAAACAAACTGCTAACTTTACTTACTTCAGGATAACTCAAAAAACATAAATTTAAAAACCAAAACATATTATTTCTTCTTCTCTTAATTACACTCAACATTTGAGCTTAAAAATATTGACAATGAAAATATGGTATACTAAAAGTTACACTTTCACAAAATGGCTTACACTTTTACAAAATGAAAATATATTATTTTAAAATCAGATATTTGAATTTGTTGATTTTGCTGCATATTGTCAGTTCACCAATTAAGTGTTCGGCGAAACATTTTAGGATAACATGAGAACTCAAAACATTTTATAATTTCTTCTCTTTACTACACACAAAAATATTTGAGCTTAATAGGCACAAATGAAGAGAATATGGTCTGCTAAAGCTAATATGATGATGTACACTGATGAAGTACTGATATGATATAATGTACATATTTTTACAAAATGAAAGATCATTTCAAAATAATGCCAATAAAATTTGCCAATTTTGTTGCATATTTTAAGTTCATTCAATTGAAAAAACTCTATTTCTTAGAATATTCTTACTTATGCAATGTCTAGTTACAACTATAAAAAAATATATATCTTACTTTATGCCGAACAGAGATTTTTGCTGTCCAATCTCCACCATGATCACCACCTGGTTGCTTTACAAATGAAGTAACAAGGAAATAATCCTTATCTTCAATTTTTTGAATGCCAAAATTTTCTCCATCATGCTCTAACCAACTGTAATGCTTTATATTATCCCATTGGTTACACCAATGACGAATCTCTATTCGATTACTCACAACCTTTTGAGTAAACCACATCATACCAGTAGCTAATGTATTCTCGCTACGAGTCTGAAGTCCAAAGTAAGCACCAGATCTGTAGGATCCCCAAAACTTTTCTGGTACATCTAAACCACTTTTTATCACTACTTTTGGAAGATTTAAAGGAGTAACAATGATGTTTTCTAAATGATGTTGATAGAAAAAATATACCACACAAAGAATAACAATTATCACATTTGCAGCCACAAATATTGCCAGTTTGTTATTCCAATTTTCCAAATAAGGACTTCTTTGTTTGACTGATCGAGTTGTAGTAGAAGTTTTACGATGTCTAATATTGCTATTATTACTTCGAGAATCTTTAGCATGCGTGCGTTGTCTAGCCATATTTCCTGAAAAAATTATTAATTAAATAAGATAATATAGAATTAGTATAATGTTCATAAAATTAAACATCCTATATAAAACTTATTGCTTATTATTAAATAAACATATTTTATATGTATGAAACATAAAAAGCTTAAATTAATCTTTTTATGTTAGTTCTTTCCTGAATATTCTTTTATTTTATTATTCAAAACAAAATGCTTTCTCACACTTTTAAATTCACATCCTGTCCTTTAATCTATTTTTGGCTCAAGTATGCATTTAATTAAAAGCAAGACATTTTTCCCTTTGCTCTCTGTGGGAAACGCTCGACCTATTTGATAAACCAATTACATTTACTAAGATTTCCCTCTTTCCCTAAATTGAAACCTTCTACGGCTTTACTTTGCAAGATTTTCCCTAACATATAACCGAGGAACACAACTTTTCATTTACACTTTTCATGCTGCTCTGACTAATAATTAATAAATAAACTTTGTACCCTCCTGCCCTGCCTTAGACCTGTTTTAATCCTTCCACTCGGCAATGGCATTATATATATATATATATAACAAAACGTATAGGGAAAGCACTATTGTTAAAATTTAATTAACACAAAAAACTGAACTGTATTCCTAATGAAATGCTTGTTTCTTTTTTTTATTACATAGCAGAAAAAATTCTTCAATGCATTAAGGAAATTAATATTGATGAATCAATAAATGAATTGAAATAAGTAAGGAATTATATCAAAAGACAATTACTGATACCTCTTTTTAGAAATTAAATTGTTAAATTTTATTAATTGCTTCCATTAAAATTATTCATCACACTGCTGATAAGAAGCTTAATACCTTAATTGTTTTACTTATAATACATTAAAATAAGTAATTTAAAAAAAAAAACATGTTAATGCTAGCTTTCTAGCTTTTAGGAAATAATAAAAAGAAATTTCAGTTATTCAAATATCTGTATTTTTAAATACGTTATATGCATCTACTACATTGAAATACATTTGTAAAGTTTTTTTTTCTTTTTTAATTAAACTTATACACTTTATTCTAAATTTAATTTTTTTAATGACTTCTTAATTAAAAAAAAAGCATTCAGCTAATTCAAACATAGGGAAAATGATATAACAAATTTTAAAAAATTTTATCTCTACTTATTTTAATTTTTATAGTCTAAAAATTGAATAAGACAGTTAAATCCAATAATAAGACATTTTTAAAGATTAGAGAAATCACTTTGCAAGAAAAAAATTTGCTAAATAATTATTTGAAATTTTCGCCATTGAAAAGAAATTAAACGCTTCATTAGAATTTGAATTACAAAGCATAAATTGTACTGGTTGGGTTTTCAATTTGATGGGCGCAAGCGAAAAATGGCCAAAAAATGTAGAATTCTGCCAACTTTTTTTTTTAAACACAATAAAATGAAAATTTAATCAATTGGAATTCGAATTGAATTTAATCAATTGAAAAAAAATTGAAATTCTTTGTCTTCTATCTAGTTAACTGAAAAGTACCACCAATTGTATTTTGCAATGAAAAATTTTAAAGATTCGTACAAAGCTATAAAATAATCAATAAATTTATTGCTAAGTATTACCAATTTAAAGGCAAATATACAGTGTGCAACTTTCTCTTGAATAAATATCAAGGAAAGAAAAAATATAATAAACTTATCTTTAAAATAGAGAGTATTTATTATACAAGGATATTCCATATTTTATTGTGACATTTTTCTATTATGCATAAATGTTAAAAAAAAATATCATTTTTTTTCTAATTGGAAATTTGCTCATTATAAGAGCATTCAACTACTTCAAAATTAAAATGTAAAAACGGAAAAAAGTTAAATGACATTGCTGACAAATTGCTCAAAATCACACTCTTATAAATTACAATTTAATTCAAACTTTTGAAGTTATCCCATTAAACAAACATAAAACAATTAAGTAATAAATAAAAAGGCAATGATTTGTACCTTGATAACAATATAAAATTTTCAATCCAAATGCATGAAAATTTTAAAGTTTTCAAAATAAATGATAGATTTGTAGCAAATGTATAATAGGCTAAAAATAAACATAAGTGAAAAAAAATTAGAAAAAAGGAACTTTAATACCAATTTGCTCATGCAACATAAATACAAACCAAAATAATTTAATTCTTACTGTTTATGGAATATTAATTCAAAACTTCTTTCTTCGAAATTTGTTTACATAACAATTCTCTTAATTTTTCTTCAAATCCTATTTTTCTGGCTTAATCCTGAAATCATCTGTTTTATTTTTTCCATCAAAGTCCTGAAAATTCAAATATATATTACATGAATATATAAATAATAAAGCTCAATATGTAAATAAATTTAAAATACTTGATACTTTTACTAATAGTAGTAATTGATACTAAATCTTCAGAAGCTATAGCATTCTTATGATATATGTTGAAACAGAAAATTCGACAATTCCATCATTTATGAATATCGTGTTTGCAAAATATCAAATCAAATGCTTCTAATAATTTTTGTTTAAGTAATTGTTGACATCCTTTACATTTACTCTGATTTTCAAATACAATATGAAGCACAATCTGTTACATAGCTCATTTTTAAAAAAGTTTTAAATTTCTAAGAGTTATAAAAAATTGGCATGGAAATGTCACAAAGAGTTATTTTAACAAAATTTATTAGAACAGCTGGCATGACATTTATAAATGGAGCAATCATCCTATTATAACTATCTTACATAAAAGAAGTTTCTATTTCATAAAATATACTCTGAATATAAAAATATGATTTCAGCTAACTTTAATTTATTATTTAAATATGATTTCAGCTAATTTCATTTTATTTTTTTAACAAAAATAAATTTTTGTTTAAAATGAATTTAACAAAATGATAATAAAGATTCAACAAAATGATTGTTAAAATGATATTTTAACAAAAAATAGGTCACAATAGGAAAAAGTAGAAAATTTAATTTTAAATGGGAAAGAGATATTATTTGATGGAATTTAGTCTATTGATATTTCTCAAGACTGATTTCAGTCACCACAACTAAAGAGTAACACCCATGGCCTTTTAGATCTAAGAGAAACAGTTAGACAAAATAAATTAATAATAAATTTCTGAATATGAATGGAAAAAAAATTTTCAAATTACTTTTTTTGGAATTTTGTACTTTAGTACAAAATTAACTTCAATAATTTAACTGACTTTTTTTTTTAGAAACTATTAGATCGTTTTTTTATAATTAAAAATAAAAAATATATATTTTTGTTTTTATTTAGAGCATCAGAAAAAATATAGATAAAAGGAACACAGGGGGTTCTGTGTACCTCAAAGGATTAACATCAACTAAAAATCATTATTTTAAATACTCATTTTAAATACTCATTTTAAATAATAGATTCTTGATTGTTTTTATCAATTAATTACTTGTCAATATTCATGGTATTACACTGCAAGATAAACATAAAATATTCAAAATTGACTAAGTGCGATAATTTTTAAGTGAAAATACATTTCTTATTAGAAATTTACTGATATCCAGTAATAAAATGTCAGTAAAGTTTCAGAGTCTTAATATGACCATTTGTTGGTTGACTTTTAGTCACTTAATATTGTTATTATAATAACTTTTTCAATATATATCAGACAGATATAGATTTATAATCTTCTTATAGTAATTATTTATAATTATTCATCATACATAATTATTTATTATACATAATAATTTACTTTTCCATCTTATATATTATAAATAAATAAAATGGAAAATAAGATGAACAATTTCCATTAAGTTTTCTCTTAAAACAAAATGAAATAATAAACAACAGGGCATATTTTGTGTTTGCATATAATAATACAATAATAATATAAAGTTTAAAAAAAAGTTTAAAAAGTTAGCAAGCATTTAGTACAATAAACAAAGCGGCAATACAAGGAATCTTGACTTATAAGCTATCATGTTATGTTTACATCTTCTTTCTTTCAGCAAATTTCAAACAAAAATTTTTAGAAAATTAATTAGAAATTCCTACCAGGATTTAATTATAATTTAAAAAGGAAAAGCTTGTTTTATCTTATGTTCAGCAAAATTCAAAAGTATCTTCTGTAAGCTACAACTAATTTTGCATAAATTTCTTTTTTTTTTTTAAATTAACGAATACCAATTGTATTTTTCTTTCGTATCTTAACATATCATTACAACATTATTAAAGTTTCTACAATCCAAAAAGATATTAGAAGTAAATACGAAATAATTTCTACAAACTGGACACTATAGAAATTTAGTGATGAAATAAACAGTAAATTTTTGTTGGGTATGACCATAACTTTTCAGCAAACACAGCGTTTAAGTAACTTAAAACTTGGCAGCAGTGAGATTATTTACACAGCAATACAAAATACCCTGCAAGCTAAATATTATATTTGATTGTATTTCTAAAACTTCTCACTTTTCTTAATTATAAAGCTCAATATTTTCATATAATTAAATGGGGGGAAAAACACTGCACAAGTAAGTATAAAACAATTTCTGTTATTAACATGATCACAACAAATACAATATATTATCATAGAATAATTGTATCATTTGAAAATTTAAAAGCATAGCAGATGGTAATAAATGGCATACAGAAATATAGAGTGTCTTCTTTTTAATAAATTTTACTGTTTTATAGCGATAAGAATAAAATTACTCTGTACACAATGCAGAAAAGCCGCTTAGAGGGGGGGGGGGGGGCNAATTTAAAAGCATAGCAGATGGTAATAAATGGCATACAGAAATATAGAGTGTCTTCTTTTTAATGAATTTTACTGTTTTACAACGATAAGAATAAAATTACTCTGTACACAATGCAGAAAAGCCGCTAAGAGGGGGGGGGGGCAAATAAACAAAACAGTTTGAGGCTTTGTCTCACTAAAGTGTTAAAACATTAAATCACATTTGAACAATCAATTTCTTAAAAATTATAAATTAAATGCAGTAGTAAACATATTTAAGAGGGAAATTTTTGCATCGACGTGTCTCGCACTTTATAATTTTTAGCTTCTTAAGACATTTCTTACAACTCAGCCCGAAACACAAAACAGTTACGTACACCAATCAAATATACTAAAACATTTATTCAATTGATTCTACTTTTCACATTTTCATTCGTAAAAAGAGCTTGATTTTTATTATCAGGTTTATTCGGTGCATTCAGTTTATTCCGAACATTCTCATACTTATTCGAAACCCTTCGAAGTTCTGCTCTGTTTCTGTTTGCTGATGTTGATACTTTTTCATTTAAATATAGAGCTTTTAATATTGTTCTAATGTTACTTTCTAAAAGTTAGCAATGTATCACATTTGTTTAAGCCTATAAAATTTAAATTTTTACACTACACACTTAACACAATAGCTCTTAGGTTAATTTTATATATCTATTATGGAGCCAATGATATTGGTTGCTGTTATTGTTGCTGTTATCATATTGCTTTTAGTTTTAACTTATTTAAGTAAAAGAAGATCAAGTAACAACACTGATAACGAGGGTAATTATATATACTTTAATTTTGTATTAATTTCTATGTTTAGGTAATTTGTCGCTAAATGTTTCTGAATTTTTAAAATGCCATCAAATTGAAAATATTTTAGTAATTAGAAACAAATAATTCTGATCCTCTTCAGTATAAAAGTTTAGCCTTGTTTTGTACAATTTAATGTGTTGAAAAATGTAAGCATATTTTACGTAAAATTGTTTGTTATTTTACTCTCAATTGATTAACATCTTCCTGCATTGATTTTGCGAAAAAAACACTAGCAAAAGTCAGGGTTGGATTTTTGACATGACAGTGGTAAAAACCGTCAAAAACCTACTGTTTTCTTTAATTTATGGCATATAGCGAACAATATATTATTTTTACATAATGGCCTTTATAAATGAATGTTGTAAATGATTGCTATTGATTTTGCAACTATATACATGCATTCTTATAGAAGGATATACATTCATAAAGAAATACTGTAATATACTTATTAAAAATAGTGATACTTACTTTTATCATTAGGTACTCAAAACACAAGAAACAAAAAAGCTTGGAACTATTAATAAATTCTAGAACTAAGAAGAAGAATTTAAAATTTGGCATTTCTTAAATATTAGAAATAAGCTAAACAAAACTTTCAAAACTTGTAACTACTAACAAACTCTAAGTCAAGAATTACTGCTATTTTAAAAACTTTAAAACTCAACTGAATAAAAGTTAAAAACTTTTATTCAGTTGAAAAAGCACATTAAAGAAAACATATTTACAAACAAAATTACATGTTCAGTTGTCGGGGTTTTTTGACGTTTTCGACAGAGGGGTTTTTGACATGACGGTTAAAACCATGTGTCAAAAACTTGCCAACCCTGGTAAAAGTACAGAAATACTAAAGTTGTCTCTAGATCAGTACGCCGATTTACGCTTACTAAAATCTTCAAGTTCACAGTAAGTTTTAAAATATCTGCAGTGTTCTTGCATGCCAGTATTCTATTGTTTCCATAACATAAGATTTCCGTATTGACACCTGCCTCAATTTCCAAATAAATTGCTTAGTTTTGCTGACTTTCAGTCATTTGCAGGCTAGAAACCAAAAGAATAGCATTGCATAAAGGGACCAACTCAAAAGGCATTACTTTTATCCACTATTGGTCATATCTCTACTTACATTTATACATATTTGTTTTGGTTTTTTTAATTTAAGAAGTTCAGAAATGTTTTGGTGATGGTAGTTGAATTTATAGCATACGTCCTTGTAAAACAACTAATGTCCAAATTGTCAGAAAAGCTTTAATGCTGTTGAAATGTCAGTTAAAAATGGTAATAGTGTAACTAATGAGAGTTGTTAGTTTACTTTTGAGGATACCTATTGAATGTTTATAATTACGGAAAGTCATGGTGCATTACGTTGGATATAATTCAACTCATAGGCAGGGGCGGATCTACTTAAGGGCTTTTTGGGCTGCAGCCCAGGGCCCGTGGATACAAAGGGCCCCAGTCCCCACTGAAAACAATCGGTGATATTTTAAATTTAAAAAAAAAATCTAATATTTAAAAAAAAATAACTATTATAAGGTTGGCAACCCTGAGATCAATCAACCCATGCATGTGCGCGTCTATCGAACGGAACGGNGACGTTTTCCCAAATTGCTACACTATCTTAAGGATTTTTTTAACTTTGCCAATCACTAGCTGTGAAGCTGAACGCTCTTTCTCCAGGATGTCATATATAGAAAACAAATATAGGACAACAATGTCGAACCATCGACTAAATCATTTATCAGTTCTTTCCATAAATCTTATAATGTGCTGAACAAATAAAGGAATTTGCGCCACAAAAATGCAGAAAGGTTGCTTTATAATTTATATAACATAACTACACCTAACCTGTCAATTTCTTTTGAAATAATGTTGTACAGTTGCTGTTTGTATAGACAAATAAAAATAAATAAGTAAAAAAAATTAATAAAATTATTTTATTGTCCTATTTTTTTCTATATACTTATTTACATCACTATAGCAAACAGTTTTTTTTTTTGACAAATTTGCTATTAGGGCCCCAAAGTAGTTTCAGCCCAGGGCCCCACAAAATCATGATCTGCCCATGCTCATAGGATATGGCAGTGTTCTTCCTAAGCATTTTTTTAAGGGCGGCTGGCCTTTTTAACCCAATAAATGCGCTCTTTTTCTAAAAATATTCCATTTTGAAAAATATTAATTCACTGTTTAAATAATAGTAATATTTCGGTAAAGCTATCTGTGTTTATAGGTTTAAATCTGATTATTAAAAATATTTACTTCACTAGGATTATTCTCAACTGGTTAAATTCTTATGAGTATCTTTTTTTGGAGAGATATTAATTAATTCTTTAAGTGATTTTAAAACTATTTTTTAATCAAATTTCTTTTTTTTTTCCAAGTAAAAAAATGCAGCTTTAAATTTTCATTTTCAGATTAAATTATAGAAAAAAGCTTTCAAGTTATTTTTTTACTTCTCATTTTTGTTAGTTTTTAAAAAAAAAAAAAAAAAAAAAAATATGCACAGCGGTTGCCTTTTAGCATGCCTTTAAACTACAAATTTTCTTCGTATTTGATAATGCGAGAAAATTATTTTTTTTTAAATACACACATAAAATAGTATAATAAGGTAATTTAAAAATTTTTGAGAATGAAATTCAGTTATTATGTAATGTTACACAATTTGGTAAATTTTTGCAGTGCTAAGTAAGTGCCCTGTCAAAACTCAAAGTGCCTTTTTCAGAGAGAAAGTGCCCTACTCTATTTTATTTCTAGGGAGAACTCTGGATATGGTAATACTTATTTTTACAGTTTTGATTAATTTTTTTATTTTATGTTTCTATATGCAAGGTGCGTACAGACTCCTCATACTCCATGGAAATAACGAAGTCTCCAAGGAGTATTTGGAACTAGTTCCAAATTAGTCCTTAGATTTCACAGAAACGGAAATAGATTTCCCTGGATTTGGAAAATAGATTTCCAAATTAGCCCTTAGAAACTCCTTAGATTATTGTGTTGCATAGATGAACCGTCCGCTGATGAATTTGCTGTCCAAGCAGGGAAACTAAATGATATAACTTAGCTGTCAAAATCTAATAATATAAGAAAAACTTTAAAAGAAAAAAAATGGAATTGCAAGAGTTAGAAGAAAAAAATAGCAAAAAATAATTTTAATTTTACATGTTACAAACAAACTTAATTAATAATTTACTGTGATTTTTTTTTTTTTTTTTGTTGTATAAAATGCCCTAGATTTTATTACGCATTCAAATTTAAAAATATAAGATTGGTAGAATTTTATGTTAATCTTTAGAACATCTGTACTTTAACAAGATTTATTAAAATATTTGAAATTGGAAAATGTATTTATGTGTAAAAATGACTTTATTTATTTTTCTTGATAAAGTTTAACAAAGTCAAAATTTATTTCAAAAGGGCTAGAAAAAAATATGCAAAATATAAATTTTTGAAAGTTCCTTATAATTACTGCTTTTTAATTCGAAAAGAAGAACGCCCGGTGGCTGAGTGGTAGTGCTTCGCGCTGTCGTGCCACAGGTCCCTGGTTTGATCCGGGATCGGGCAAGGTTGACTCAGCCTTTCATCCCTTCAGTGGGTCGATAAATTAGTACCAAGCATGCTNACTCAGCCTTTAATCCCTTCAGTGGGTCGATAAATGAGTACCAAGCATGCTTGGGAACTTAACATTGGGGGTTCTACGTTCGGCTGACCACCTGACCAGAACATCTGCTCCTGCACCCCAGAGCCCAAGGTCAAGAAAACTGAGATGGGCACAGTAGGCCTTGGCCCTCTATGGGCTGTCGCGCCACTGAGTTTAGTTAGTTTAGAATACTCCTTGGATTTCTTCTTCTGATCTCTGTATGAACCCTGTTCTATATGTTTGTAAAGTTTTATTAATATTTTTTGCTTTGATGAATGAATGAGTATATATTTGTAGCACAAAGACCTCGTGCAGTTCCTGTTTTAAGAGGGGCTGGTGTTGAAGCACCTAGAAGAGCTGGAAGAAATGTTAGGCAAAGAATGCGACAAGCTGCTGCCAGATCTCCTGAAGAAGGTAGCTGCGTTTGTGCAATATTTTTTTTATTTTAGTTAATTTAATTAAATGATCATTAAAGAACTAGTTGACGTAATTTTTCTCCTTTAAAGAAAGGTAATTTTTTTTTTTGTAACGGAAACAATTTTCCATATTGATTACTGCTGTACCAATGCTGCAGAATCATCATAATTTGGTTATTTTAGCGTTGGTATTGATGCCAAGATCTACATTTCCGAAGCATATCACTTCAACATATGAAAGATAATGCTACTGTAAACGATTTTGGTACGTTTTGAAAGGCAAAACTATCACTCTTATCAAAGCTGATTTTTTTTATTCAAATTTTCTGGATTAAATGATTCTATATTGAAATTTATGTACAATTCTATTCTTGAGTTCATAGACAAAATTATAAATGTATTCTCCGAAACACAACAAAAATAGTCAGAAGAATATTTTCTGAATCGAGACGACACAAGGTCTGCTCTTCATTCGCTTGTCCAAACCTCTTCTATCAAGAAGACCGCCTCCAGTGAAAAAACACCTGCTCGGAGTTCCAAGAATTTGTAGAAAGACTCCAGATGCAGGGGTCAGCTATTTATGATGTTACACTACACTCTGATTAAACATTGCTTCTGTAAAAAGGAGCTTTTTTATTTTGCATTATTCTTAATTTTTTCTGCTTTATGTGAAGTCTGTACCAAATAATGTTGAACACTGATCCCAGAATTTACTTACGTTAGTATAGTTATACTGTAATGAAAAATTATTAAGTTTTGTAGAAACTATTCCAGTGGAAAGTCGGGGTGCATGCTAACAAGAGTTTTTATACCTATATATAAGGCTTAATTTATAAAAGAAAAGCTCCAAAACATTTTATGTAAAAAATTTAATGCTTAAAAACATAATTTATTTAATGAATTCTTACAAATTTTTGTTTTAAATAATTGTTAAAATGTTAGGTCTAATGCATGACTGTTATAAGCTACTCCGCCGAAAGGATATTAAGTAAATTGAACTTGTAAAAAAGCGATTCTGTAGCATCATGTTTAAAAAATGATATTTTTAGAATATTAATTTTATCTACTGAAAATTATACATGTATATATATTCTACATTTTACAAAATATTACTTACAATGAAGCAATTTGGAGATTTGATTTGAGTTTATATATATTTCTAAAAAATTATTGTTAGGATAAAAAATTTTACATCTATTTTTGTTGTTTGCTGAATTGAGAATGTAATGAAAAATTTGCTTAAATTTTGAGGCTTATCTGTATCAGCCTTGGGAAGGTTCTGAAGAACTAATCCAATGTTTGTTAAACTGCAAAATATTTATTAAAAATATTTTTGCAATTTTTTTTTTTTTGATTTTTTGGTTTAATACAAAAATAATTATTACAATATTAAAACTTTTTTTTTGAATTTTAGAAATGGTGGGTAGAGTAATTGAATTAGAGTATAGAGTTTGGTGTAGAGTAATGATTAAGAATTTTTGTAATTAAAAATTTAAAAAAAATATTCATTATACTTAGCTTTATAACTAAGTAATGTTATTAATAAAAAAATGTGTATTTTAAACATTAAAATATTTTATGTTTTCATATTAGAAGAGGAAGATTTGTTACCAGATGATATTGCTTTGCCTGATGGTAAAATAGGTGCAAAAAAATTGAAGAAACTTGAAATGAAAGCAGAGAAAAGAAGAGAAAGAGAAGTATAATTTTAAATCATGTCTAAACATTTTTTGTCTTGAAGTTTTAAAACAACTTATAACTTATTATTATGAATTTTTTTCTCTGAATATTCAGACAAATCACTATTAGTTACATCCCTATGTTAAACATCATTTGTCATGAAGAAAGCCTGTGGTTTAATGTTATAAATTATTTTTAAAAGACTAACAAATGATTATCATTAAATATTACCAATATAATATAATAAATGGAAAAACTATTTTGGTAATAAACTAATGTTCCTTTATTGTAAAAAATACAAATTAAAATTGTAGTTCATTTGATTAATTGGTAGCAAAAGTAACATAATCAGTGTACAAATCTTTATGTATGAAAAATATGTCTAAAATATGCATAAGTCCTGAATGTGCATATCAAAAAACATTGCTTCTGTAATATTTTTGTAAATTTAAACTTAAATATATTTAAATAATTATTTTGAAATATGCTACCAAATTAAGCAATTTTTTATTTATTTATATAATGTCTGCCATAGTGTTATCTCTAATGCCATTCTAATTTCTCTATAATTTAATTTTTAATTCAATTAGTTTAATGCAAAATCTGTGAGGCAAACTGTAAACTTGTAACAAACTACTTTTAAATATGTGGTTAAAGTGGACAATTAATTATCCTCACACTTCAGATGTAAATATTATCCATAATGTTATTTTTCTTTTACTCATTTAAAATCTTACTGAGGTTTCGCCATGTCTCCATGTCTTTTTTTTGTATTAGTCAACCCCATTTTTTTTATGAGTTATAAATCTACGTTATAATGTACAAAAAATAGAGAAAAGTAGCAGTAGTAAATTTAAAATTTAAAAAAATAATACTAAACACTTATTGTAAAAGGCTATCAGATCTGACATTTTTCATGAAACATCATTTTTCATAAAAGTGTCTAATTATCATAATCAAATGATGAAGTGGAAGAAATAAGAGTAATTGTACCATAGAGAATTTAATCAGACATTATAAAGCCATTGTGCTCTCTCTGTTGAATATAATTAGAGGAATCAATTTTTGCTGAAATTTACTTTTAAAAACAATTTAGCCATTTTTAAATATTTTTGAAGAACATAATTTGTTGTTTCGATCTGTAAAACTGAATTTTGTTCACTGTGACGAATTGTAGTTTATGTGCAACATTGTTTTTTTTTATTCTTCAAATTCTGACATTTGTACGTGTGATATTTTAACTAGTGCTGCAAAGTTCAATTATTTTAATGTTTAAAAAACATTAACTATTGTTTATTTTTTGCATTACATTTGTTTATTGCTCTTATAAATTTCAATTGTTTCACATTAAACAGTTCGAACAAATTTTTAATAAAATTTAGTTAGTGAAAAAATTATTATTTTTGAACAACTTTTTAATATTTAAAGGCTTTCTTTAAGATATATTTCATGAGTGTCTTTCACATCTGATTTTTGAGTGTGAAATTAAAACATAAAACTACAATTAGTTCTTTAATTTTCATGCTTGAAAAGAAGTTAAAAAAATTTCTTTAATATGCTAAATGTTTGCAATAGGTTTTTTTTTTTAATATTTTTTAGCTTGTTTTTAAATAAACCCAATTTATATAGATGAAAATTAATAATTTTCACTTGCTAGTGCAGACTTTCTGATATTAAAGTCAAACTTAACTAATTATTGAGGGAAGCAAGTACCCAGCACCAACAATGTTCACAATGTATTTCATTCTGAACTATGACCATGAGAAACAAATTTTTTATTTATATTCCAGAGATGCCAACTGCTCCGGACACGCCTAAATAATTAAAATAACGGTAAATAACTACAAAGTAAATTTTGCAAATGTTTGACGATTTTTGCTTGCTTTTTTAAAGGTGCAGCATGATGTAAGTACTAGAAGGTGGTGAATTATATAAGCCTACGAATTATGTAGAAATAGTGGTGGATAAAAATCTTCTAAATTGAATTTATTAAACCGAGAATCACAATTGATAAACTACCATTTTAGAATATATATTTGCTCTCCGGAGCAAGTTGGCATCTCTGATATTCTGTTATTTTTAATAAATTCAAATGAAACAAAATGCAATTTTATGCCTTATTTTATTTTTTTTAAATTTCTTTAATTTTGCTAATTAAAATATGATTCAAATGAACTTTTCAGAGAGAGCTTGAGGAACGTGAAGATAGAAAGCAACGACAGAAAGAGTTAGATGAAAGGAGAAAAAAACAAGAAGAACAAGAAAGAGAAGAAGAACGTAAAAAAGTATGTGTCATTCTACTTGTGTTTACTGCTGTATTTTTCCGTACTTCTATACTTCTAATTGTTGCTATTCTTGTATGCTTATACTTGAATACTTTTTGTGCTTAAACATTTTTACTACTGCTATACTTTTATGCTCGCATCAAATTAGACTTCATTATCAGTGTTAATAGCTATAAAATTAGTTTCATGTGAGGTAAACAATTTTTTTTTTAAATGCTCATATAGATTATTTTCTAATTTTATCAATTATTTTTTTCCTATTTATATTAATTTCAAGTAGTACATTTTATTACAAAAAGTTGTGTGTTCTAAGTGTTTTTCTTCCTCACTTTTTTTTTAAATTTCTAATTGAAATAAGGAAAAAAATTTCAATTAATAATTTTACGAAATGTATTTATGGGTTTTGGGATCATAAGAAAACCTATTTAAATAGTTCCTATTGCCTTAATTAAACCCAGGTCACCCCCTCAATATATATATTTATAAACATATCATTACCAAACATAGTTGGCCAATTTAAAGAGGGCTATTTATTCCATTCTAGTGAAATGTATTCTTTTCCTGCATTAAATAAAATTATTTGTTTACTTATTTATTTTTATTTTTGAAAAATTCTCCTAACTTAAATTATTTTATATTAAAATTAATTTTTCTTGATAATTTTTTCTGATTATTACCTGATGCTTTTAAGTATTTATCTAGAAAAATTTGACTATTCTCTTCTTGACGAATTTTGAATAAAATTATGGAAACGTACCTAAAATGTGAAGTATAGAAGAATACAAGAAATCATTTTTTTTTTTTTAGTGCTAAGTGTTTTAACAGTATTATTGTTGCTAATGATTTATGCAAGAAAAATTTAAAAAGTAGGGGAGAATGGGAAAAAAAGAATTATTTAATTTTTTATATAATAAGAATATGTAATTGTTTCTTAATTTTTTCATTCCTGGTAATTTTTGACAAAACTTCTTTAGACATTACTTATATCAATAGAAGGAAAGATTCAATTATTATTTTATTTATTTGTTTTTACTTCATTGCATTTGATAGTTCTTAAAAGGAATCATTTAAATACCACGTGACTTAAGTATAACATTGAGTTTAACATTGAGTTAAGTAATTAAAACAAACTGAAGGTGTGTAACTTGTTCTCATATTCTTTCAAAAATCAATGATTTTCTACGAATAAAATGCAGTTAATTTATTTTAAATAGTTTTATAAAATTCATTTTATTAAACATTAAAAACAAACCACATAATTTTTTCTAAAGGTTTTTAAGACATTAAGAGAGCAAAGTATTTTATCAAAAGCAAGTAATTTTTTTTTTATTATTTTGTTGTTCTGGCATATGGCTTTGTTGAAATTCAATTCTTCTTATATAGAGATTTTATAACATACAAAAAAAATGAGTTTATGTTACATAATTATTGTTAAAAAAAACTCTTTCAATTTGAATCCTCTGCACCATTATTTTATTAAAATCTTTACTACATAAATCTTACAGTTTACAAATTTTACAGTATAAGCTTATTTAAATTTTATTACATACCCTTTTTTGATTTAAAATTGTGAACAATACAATTATATAAAAAAAAGTTTTAATTAGCGAAATTTTTATGATAATATATTGTTTTATCAAATTATTAAATGTTTGATTTAAAACATTTTACGATAAAAATGAGTGTCATTATTATTAAATTGCCTCCTTAAAATGAATTTATTTTTTATTTATATTTATTTATTTATTTTGCTTTTAATAGTGCTCTCCCTAAGTGTTTTTAGAAGGGCAGCCAGCCCTGCTTGCTTTTTGATCTCTATAAAAGTGCCCTTTTTGTAAAAGTAAGCTACCATCCCTTAAAACACTGCCTATTTATTCATATTCCATTTTTAAGAAAAATTAATTAACTGTTAAAATAATAATTCCGCCCAAAAATTATCTGTGTTTATAGTTTAATTCTGATTACTACTACAAATATTTATTTTGTTAGGATTATTCTCAACTGATTAAATTTTTATAAGTTTCTGTTTTTTCANGTTATTTCATAGAATAACTAGTTAAAGTGTCAAATTAATAGCATATTACATACTTTAACGGACACGATCAGTTATTTCATGGAATAACTTGGTATTCTGTGAAATAACTGCATTATATACTTTAACGGTAACATTAATGAATTTTTTAAGTGATTTTAAGTTTTGAAATTATTTTTAAATAAATACCTTTTTTTTAAAAAAAAATTTGAATTAAGGAAAAATTAATTCTCAGTATAAATAATAGAAAAAATCTTACAAGCCCTTTATCAAAAAAAAAAAATTAAATTCTTTTTTTTTTTTTTAAATGTATGCACAGCAATAGTCTCTTACGATAGTCTCTTTAATTATTATTTATAAACTACAAATTTTTCTCTTATTAAGGTAATTATCGAAAATTACTTTTTGAAATATACAGATAAAATAGTATAAGATGGGAACTTAAAAATTGTTGAGGATCAAATTCTTTTATTACGTAATATTATGCATTTTAATACATTTTTATGGTGTTGAGTGCCCTTTCAATACTCAAAGTTTTCTTTTCTTTAAGGAAACACTTTGCCCTTTTTTATTCCTAAGGAGAAATCTGTAATATTATATTATATTAAAATTATTTTAAAATAATGCCTACAATTCGTTTTAAGGAAGAGGAAGAAAAGGCTCTTAAAGAAGAGCAAGAAAGAAAAGAGCATGAAGAATACTTAAAACTAAAAGAATCATTTGCTGTTGAAGAAGAAGGCTATGATCAAGAAGATAATGCAGATGAAGTGAGTATTAAATATTGTGTCTTACACATTTCTAAATGTACTGAAAAGTAATTCAGTTAAAAAATCCTATTTATACTTCTTTCCTTTATATTAAAAGCCATTAATTAAGTTAAATTAAATATATTGTAACCTTTGATATCATAAACATTTTCTTTTTAGGCCAATAAATTTCAAGAATTTATTGATTACATCAAAGTAAGTTATAATTACTTTACCTTTACATTTATTATACTATGAACTCATGAATTATAATGTTTTGAATTCATTCCTTTATATCAATTATAGAATCAGAAAGTAGTTTTGTTGGAAGATTTGGCTTCACAGTTCAAGCTTAAGACACAAGTAAATATTGATTTTACTTTTTGTTTATATTTAAATCAACCTCAGACTGCTGTAAATCATTTTTTATATTTGTATTTGTAAATGGTACTCAATTAAAAATTTTACATGCAGATTGTAAAATATTTTTTTATTCTCCCTTTAATTCTGTCATATATTTTAAAAGTCTTTTTTTTTTAATTTCCAATAATTAGATATTTAGTTTTAATGATTATCATACACTAAAACTAAACTCAGTGGCGCAACAGCCCATAGAGGGCCAAGGCCTACTGTGCCCATCTCAGTTTTCTTGACCTTGGGCTCTGGGGTGCAGGAGCAGATGTTCAAGTCAGGTGGCCAGTCGAACGCGCAACCCCCAGTGTTTAGTTCCCAAGCATGCTTGGTACTCATTTATCGACACACTGAAGGGATGACAGGCTGAGTCAACCTTACCCTGCCCGAGGATGGAACCAGGGACCTGTGGCATGACAGCGTGAAGCGCCACCGCTCTGCCGCGGGGTGTCAATGATTATCATATTAGTGTTTTAAGCTAAAAGAATTTTAAAATTGTAATGAAATATGATAATTCATATTTTATCATTCTCAATTTGCTAATGTCATTTGTGATTGCTTAAAATAACAGAAATGTTCTAAATATCTTTAAATTTAGATTAATTTTTGAATATGTTTAGATTTTTAATATTATCTTAGTTAGTGAATCTGAGTATAGTGAATAACCAATATTATGTATTGAAAAAATATTTTTGCAATAAATTAATACATAATCGTCTTAAATACATGATCTAGAAAGTACATTTTATTATTTTTTGTCACTGTATTACCTGTTGCGTTTTCAATGTGAAAAATGTGTGATTCATTCATTAAATATTTCTCAGATTTAGGACTTTGGAATGTATTGCAATTTATTGCTTTTCAATACAATTCACGCTAGTCTTCAACATAAAATCAATTAATATGATATTTTATAAAGTTTTCTTCCTCCTTGTAAACAATTATGGTAATTCAGTATAGTTTTATTTCTTAAACTGAAGTGCCTTAAAATTGAAATGAATTTTATTTTCACACACTCTATCAGAGGAATGAATGTCACTTTACCTCAATTTTGTTGAAAGCAGTTGTGGATACTTATTTCCTTTAATTTAAATTTCATGACATAAAATTGTTTTTCTGATCAACAAAACTTATCTTCTGGAAAAAATAGGAGTTAGTAAATTCAGGAGAGGAAAAACAAATTATGTATGCTAAAAAACACCGAAACGTTTTATATGAAGTTAAAATTGTGTGTTTGTTTGAAAAAATATTAAAATCTTACCATAGTGATAATTTGCTGCCAGCGATTCCTATATCAATCACAATTCCAATTTATTAATCAATTCAAATTTATAACTCAGTATAAAGTTAGATTTTGAAAATAAAACTTAGATTTAATATAACTATGCTTTAATAATAAAAATGATGTTTGGAAATCAACTTAATATTATTGTTGTTTTATATCAGTGTTTTTAAATTTTAATTTTTGCTGTTGTTTAAGTACATATGGTTGCTATCTAAATTCTTCACTCAATTAAATATTTTAATTATGATTTATGCTGACCATAATAAACCAAATTCAATTTACTTAGAGAGGAAATAAATTTTGTTTGGATTCCTATATTTGCAACCTTAATATAATTGCATTTACTTAATATAATTATTCAAAACTGGCACTCTATGTATTTTCATGCTCACCATTAAAAGTGAAAACATCACTGGCATGAATTATTTTATTTCAAACACGCTAAGGTAAATATTACAATGACAAAACCTTCAAAAAATTCAATTGTTTACAGTCATTGTGGTCATTTTGAGCACATAAAGACATGGAGTGCCAGTTTTAGGTCCCATTGTTTGTTAATCTTCGTGATAGAATATTTTAATTACTTTATTTACTATTCATTGTTTGTCTGTTCTTTATGTCTTTGATTTTCTTAATATAAATTATTGTATGTGCATCTTAAAAAGAACACAAGGGTAATCAAAGTGTTATATATTGTGTTCTTATTGGATGCAAGCTTTTTTCTTGGTGCTTTGGTTTTTGTCCAAAATTTCTTCTGAAAAACAAGAGAGGAAAAGATTTCTTACGAATGTTTGTTTATTAATTTTAATGTGTCTCAATTTTTTAAAATTTTATATACATTGCTTTATTATTAATATAATAATTAATCTAATTTCTAACCAAAAAACTTTTAACCAGAGGATTGCCATAGGAAATCTCATAATTTAATTCCTTTAGAAGTATCTATGAAATTTTTCTCATCATAAAATCTTAATTTTTAAAAATCAAATGATGTAAATAATTATTTTCCGTTAAGAGTATTTTTGCTGTTCTAAATTTTTTTAATCATTTTTGTTTAGTCATAGTAACTAACTAACAGTGCTTTTATTTTATGCAGGATACAATTGATAGAGTTCAAGATCTATTGGCTCAAGAATGGCTAGTAGGAGTAATTGATGACAGAGGAAAATTTATTTACATTACTAAAGAAGAATTAGAATCTGTTGGCCAGTTTATTAAGCAAAGAGGCAGGGTGTCTATATCTGAGTTAGTGGATTGTAGCAACACATTAATTAATCTTCAACCTGAGAGCCCGATTGAAAGTTCTTCTTGAAAATGTATATTTTATTTTAGTGATGCCTTTATAATAAATGTTGTTTTATCAAAGTCCTATTTATTTATAAAGTTCACTTAAAAAATACAGATGATCTTCAACTTGCAATATTTTTTTATATAAAATGATAAAAAAAAAATATTTGTATTCATTTGGTCTTAATTTATTACACTTTCTTTAAAAAGCTTTTCTTCGTCCATTTAATGTGAATTTTTTTATTAAGTTTCAATTAATTACTCACAACAATTAATGACTTGGAAACAATTAATGACTCATCAAGATGCATAAGCATGCGAATCTTTAAAAATACATTTCTGATCTTTTTCCACATTGCACAAGTATCAGTTTTTATTATAAATGATATACTGTGTGGGGTTGCAATCATTTGTCTTGATTCTGAACTATTAAATAGCTCTTGAACATTTGTGATTATTTCTTTATTCATAAAAATGCAGCATTTTGTTTAGAGAAGAAAAAAAAATCTTACTGCGATAGAATCCTTAAAAAGTGAATATTTTATTACAGCTGGTAAGATTAATTAGATTCTGTTATTTTATTGGCTATAATTTTGAATTGAGCGTAATGAATCTTCAAGTTTCTGAGAAAACTCTTTATATAAGCACTATTTGCCTATCGAATAAAATTGAAATGCTCATCTGAAATTGTAATGTGAAAGCTGTGACTTTATAACAACATTTATTTTTTAAACTTTAAAGTCATACATTTTTGGGATTTGTTGAACATCTAAAAATTGTAGAACTATAACTAATTTATTATAAGCTTTTCCATTCAAATCGAAACCACAAAACTCCGGGTATTTCATCTATGGTTATCCCTTTAAATTTTAAAAATATCAAGACAATTACGAATATGACAAAATATAGTTTTTAAACTCTTTAATTTTGCTACCACTTTAAATATTTTTAAGCACGTTCAATCACTGTTTAAATGACAGCAGGACCAAGTACGGATAAAAAAATAGTGAATTTGAAAACTAGTCTAACCAGAGCCGGATTATACCTTTCGTAGGCCCTAGGCATAGCCGTTTTTGGGCCCTCCCCTCCCCTCTTTTCAAAATTTATGCTAAAATTTTCTTGCATATTTTTTTTTACATTTTTATTAATTTGGATTTTAATTTACAAATTTGTTTATTGAACTTTATCTGCAAATTTGGTGAAAATTTACTCATCCGATTTTGAGGAAAACTTTGTAGATGAATTTTTACTATTTTCAAATTTGTATGAACATAAATCTGCACAAGAAATGTTGAAGGCTCAAATTAAATATAAACTTGTGAATACTTTTCCAAACGTTCACATTGCATTAAGAATATATTTGTCGATTCTTGGATCAAATGCAGAAGGAGAAAGATCTTTCTCCAGATTAAAATTGATAAAAAATTATTTGCGTTCAACAATGAATCAAGATCATTTGACATCGCTCGCACTTATGCCTATTGAATACGACATTTTGCGTAGTTTGGAATTCGACAGCATAATACAAGATTTCGTTGAATCCAAAAATTGCAAAAAGTAATATATTAGATCATAAGATTCTGCAAAATAATTTATTTCCGAAAAATATTATATTTTTATTTGTATCTTCATAATTTTGTGCAAAATGCACTTGTTGTTTTTAAAGCTAAATTATTTTTGTCAACAAATTTTTTTCTCCCAAGTTTTTCGTAGGCCCTAGGCACGTGCCCATAGGTTAATCCGGCCCTGAGTCGAACCGTAGTTGGTTGAGTACTTCTAATAAAGTTTTTAAAGTAATTTATTACAATTTTTTCATTAACTAAATAATCAAGGTTTTGAAACCAAATATAAATTTTATATAAAATGATTAGAATAATTTTATTCATAAATCAAGCAGGACAAGTTCAATATCAGATAAATGGAAAATTCATTTGATCGAAACTACCAGTAAAAGTTTATTATGTTTGTTTAGGAACAAAAAATGAAGACTTGTAGATGGAGAGCTCTTTCTCTTCATTTAGAGTTAGGGGTCCGGCTTTTTTCACTTCAAACAGTTGATGTAACCTTTACAAGGTGCATTTACCAAGTGATAATCGCTTTAGATGCTCATAGAAACAAGCGATGAGTTCGAGCGCCGACGGAAAGGTAATAAGTTCGATTCTTGTTCTAATGATAGTGAATTCGAAAAATGGTCATAATAGGTTCGAGTACTGATTAAATGACAGCGGGTTTTAAATTATAGCAGGTACGAGTATTGATTAAATGGTAAAGGGTACGTTTTTAGCTCTTATTATAGTGGATTCTACAGCTGGACATTATGGATTCAAGTACTGACAAAAAGACAGTGGGTTCAATACTACTTGCTCAAATCTTAGCGTCTTCGAGTACTGATAAAATGGTAACGGGACCAAGTACAAGTAACGATAAAAAGATAGTAGGTTCGAATGTTTTATCTGACTCAAAATTGTTAGAAAATGTATATTTTATTTATTTTCTTCAAAATTCATTCAAGATATATTTTAGGGTAAACAGTTGGCGTACTTCAATTGATTTTATTTTTGTTGTTGTTGTTAATTTACGTCGCACTAGAGCTGCACAATGGGCTATTGGCGACGGTCTGGGAAACATCCCTGAGGATGATCCAAAGACATGCCATCACAATTTTGATCCTCTGCAGAGGGGATGGCACCCCTGCTTCGGTAGCCCGACGACCTGCACGCGAAGTCGAGCACTTTACGGCAGAACAGTTTAACGAGGACCAATACCGCACACCCTCGGTCCCTACCTGCACACTGACAGCAGCCAGTGATGCTTGACTTCGGTGATCTGCTGGGAACCGTGTCTTAACGATCAGTCCACTGCGGGACTAAAATAAATTATTTAAGCTATATGATGTAACGCATCCATAGTTAACCAGGACTTCTTTAGCATATCCTAATCCTTGATACCGCCATCAACAGATTAATGGGATAAGCTTAAATAAAAAAACAATATTTAAATATTTTCTCGCTTTAGCTTTCAAGCAATATGTTTCGTTCAATCAGATTTCAATTCTAGAAGTAACGAAATTACTGAGAATTTTCCTAGGAGAAATATAGGAAAAATTTTTATTCATAATTTCTCTAAAAAAAAAGTATGTTAAGCCTATCGCTGCGTATTTTTTAAATTTTTTTTTATCAAAACGGATTAAAGAATTTGCGCATTTTTTATTACATATTTCAAATCAGATAATTATTCTAAAAATTGCCCAACTTTGAATTCTTCTTACAATTTTCTATATTTAGTTTTTGCTGTTAAACAAAATCAGGTTTTCCCTGATAACAAAATATACTATAATATTATCTTGCAAACTGTGCTAAAGTTGAAAAATCATTTTAACAAACATTTTTTACATTATTCGCTAAAAATATTTAAGTCATATTAAAAAAAAGAAGAAAAAAAAAAACAGCAGCTTTCTTAAAGTTAACGGTGTATTACAAGAACTTTAAATAAAATTGCGGTTTGAATTTATTCATTTAAATAAGACATAAAAAACTTATTTTATACGATAAGACAGGCGCTTTGCACGGAGTAATTTTAATATAGCAAAATGCTTTTGAATTCTTATCAGCTATTGACAATTATTTTAAACGAGTGTTAATTTCGAGAAAAAAAATTAAATATTAATACAAATTAGACAAAATATATTAGTATATATCGGGAAAAAAACTACACTGCTGGCCACAGTAAATGCAACACCCTAAAGGAAGCATGCCAATAATATGAAATTTGCAACGGAGGTGCGGAGGTGAGATATGCAAATGATTAGAATTTCAGTGCATACGCACATTACTCACACCTGTGGAGCCACTTCAAAGCGCTATTTAAGGCTAGGAGATTTCGACGATTTCAAGTTCGGCAATTGTGTTTTTCTTGTGGTTTCTTCAAAAAACGATCAATTATGCCTCGTAGAAAACAGCGATCATCTTTTAACTCTTTAAAGACCCAAGCAGAAGAAAATTTACCACTGTAAACATCCTTAGTTTTTCACTCGCAAATGAACTCACCCATTTTGTTGGGGGCTATCTTTGGACATTTGCTTCACAGCTGGCAAGAGTATCCCCCACGTCACTAATAAATCAAAGGCGTGCTCATCTTGACAGTGGAACTTCCTGGCATTCAAACTAACAATCGGCTTGTAAAAATCGCTTATTTTTCCCCCCATTGAACAATTTTCTCGTTAACTATTTTAAAGCGAGAATAAAGAGATTTTTATATCTTTTTCCCAAATCTCCTTTTTAATTATTATTTATTTATTTTTCTTCATTTTTTTTTAAGTTTCTGTTTATTTTTTCTTAAAACTGATTATTTTGAATGGATATGTAATACAAAAAAAAAAGTTTTATTTTTAAAATGTGTTGAAAGATCAGCTTTCTAAAAGTAACAAAAACATTTTAAATTTTTTTTTTTTCTTTTTTTATGAGTTAATATTAACTGAACTCGCGTTCTTTTCAGTTTTAAGAATCAAATAAAGCTTCGATTATATTGAAGTTCGTTAATAGAAATGTTTTTGTAAAATATTTATTTGAACTATTTTCCTGATTTGAATACGTGGAAGAATAATAGAAATAACTTTCCAAATGCGTAAATATTTAGGTGTAACTGTAACAAGAGACGCTGAAACTGGAAATTACTGTTTATTAATTACTGTGAAAAGCCGATGACTACCCATAATATGAAAGTATGATTATCCATCACTGGAATTTGAACCTGGTTCCCCTCAGCGAAAGGCGGATGTTCTATAGCCTGAGCCGCAACGGCTTTACATCACATTTTTAGAACTAATGATATTATGACTACAATTTTGAGTAAGGAATATCATAACGAAAAATCAAGTTTTTTGCAGTAATTGGATTTTTTACCGCTTGTTAGTAAAGATTTAGAAATCAACTGAAAAAAGGAAATTGTAATACTTCTTTTTAATATTAATTATAGAATTTAAAAAAAATAAAAGCATTTAGCATTTTTTACAGAGTTCGTACTATTTTAAACGAAATATTTTTATTCATTGATCTATCAAATTAATCCTGCCGCC